TTAAAAAGTAAGGCCAATGGCACTGCTAGTACATGAGAACCAATTTTAATAAACTTGTTCTCAATGCCATCTAGTCCAGCTCCACTGGTAGATGACAGTTCACTTATAACCTTTTGCACATCTGCTGGGCTGATCTCTGTAAATGAAAAGGAACTACCGGTATGGGGACAAGGAGCCAAATCTGGTTTAAAAGTATGGGTCTGAACTTGTGGTGCTGAAGAAAAATGTAAACTAAAAGCATTTGCAATAGTTACTGGATCATCTATCATTTCATTATTCAAATTTAAATTGGTTGTAGTCCGCCCTGATTTCCCAAGTACATTATTAACCTGTTTCCAGAATCTTTGTGGGTTTTTGAAATCATTCGATAGACAATTTCTAAAGTAACTGGATTTGGAGTTTCTTGTTTGCATGGTACAATTGTTTCTTAATCGTTTATATTCTTCCCAGTCAGCAGTGTGTTTTGTACGTCTAAACTTATGCCAAGCCCAAACATCTCTTGCTTAAGTTGTTGGAGAGCTTTCAGAATAAATATGTTGGTCGCGTTTTGTTCCATGACGGATCACAGGTGAAATAATCAACTGAACAAACGGTGTCCGTCTAACAGTTCTCAAAAAAGAAAAAAGAAAAGAGGGTTGATACCTCTAATAACTCTCCAAGCTTATCGTAAAGTAGATATGCACGAGGATTCATTAATTAGCGCATTTCGTAGACTGAGAATTGAAGAGCCTCACTCAAGCACTGCTGCTGTGTCGGCCATTTTTGTCGCTAATGAAAATAAAATAAATCCCTATAGAGTAATCAGGACTCTTGTATCACCCTGAAGGAGCTTATTTTGCATGAATGAAGTACATTTTTCTAGGTTTTACATTGTTACTTACCAAATAAATAAACTGACATAAATATTTATTTAAGTTTAAATTATTCAGTCTGTCGTGACGCCCACGATGTGACAAAACTCTGACGTGGCGGCCATGATGGCTGGAGACTCTGGCGTGGCGGCCATGACGGCTGGGGACTCTGGCGTGGCGGCCATGACGGCTGGGGACTCTGGCGTGGCGACCATGATGGCTGGGTCCCGGTCAAGCAAGAGTCCTCCTCTACCTCACCCACAGTGAAGGAGGAACCACTCGTTGAGAGCACCAGCTCAACAAAATCAATGAATCTCCCTCGATGATCATAAATGGAAAAGGGAATCTTGATTTTAAAGGGTTAGTTCACCCAAAAATTCTGACATTAATTACTCACCCTTATGTCGTTCCAAACCCGTAAGACTTTCATTCATCTTCGGAACACAGATGAAGATGAAATCTGGGAGCTTTATGTCCCTCTATTGACAGCCGACGCAACTTCCACTTTCAAGGCTCAGAAAGGTAGTAAAGACATCAGAAAAGTAATCCATGTGACTCATTTACATTTATGCATTTGGCAGAATCTTTTATCCAAAGCAACTTACATTGCATTTCAAGGTACACATTAACATTCTTATCAGTTCTTGCTTTCCCTGGGAATTGAACCCATGACCTTGGCGGTGCAAGCGCCAACTCTCTACTGTTTGAGCTACAGGAAAGCATGCTCCTGTATTTAAACCCAATTTATTATTTACCACTTTATTTACAAAATATCATGAGAGCACTACGACGCATGCGTGTTATGTTGACGTGAGAGCAGACATTGCATGTGTGTTGGAGATAAATATTTTTTGTAAATAAGGTGGTAAATTATTATTTTTTGCACAAACAAAGCAATCGTGCCGCTTCATAGAATTGGGGTTAAACCACTTAAGTCACATGGATTACTTTCATGATTGGGGCTTAGATGTGGTAGTTGCATAGGTTGTCAATAGAGGGACAGGAAATTCACAGATTTCATTAAAAAGATCTTCATTTGAGTTCCAAAGATGAACGAATATCTTACGGGTTTGGAACGACATGAGGGTAAGTAATTAATGACAGAATTTTTATTTTTAGGTGAACTATCCCTTTAACTGGTCATTGAGTCTTGCATAATAAAAGGAAATCAAAGCACTGTCATGGTAGTGAGTCTGATGAGCAAGGTCCAAAACCTCACTAGTATGGTACTCGAGGGAACAATCATCCTGAGTAAGGAGGAGGAGGTATTTTGCTGCTAGATCCATACTAATGGTTGGTTGGTCGTTCTGTTATGCCGAGTTCAGACTGCACGATTTTCAAAATAATCGGGTCACAGTTGTTTTCACACTGCATGACTATCTGGGGTAACATTCAGTTTCTGCTGTGTTCACACTGCACGATGGATCGGCGACAGGAGGAGGTTTCACACTGCATGACTTTACAAAAGAAAGAATCGCCGACAACTTCTGCCTGGTCCGCAAACTACGTTTCACAACCAAACAAACGCGAGAAGTGATAGGAAATAACGGAAGACCACGCGTGCGTGAGACCGGAGTTCTCGCGCGATACTGAATTTGTTATTAAAAATGATAGCCTACAAACTGTCTGTGCACTGATTTGTTGCAAAAATGAAAAAAAATAATAAACAGTTTATGCAGGAAATGGTTGGGAAGACGAGGGGAGCAAGGACTGTGTTTTGCAAAGAGAGTTGGGGGTAAATAAATAATTTTGCAAATGTCCTGCTGTTGCTGCTGGTCATGCAAATGTTTGTGCTTTTGTTTCTGTTTGATATAATTGTAAATATAGGCCTATCTATTAAAATACTGATATTCTGGTCTATAACTCCTCCTCCTCCTCCTCCTCCCTGTATCTTGCTCTCTCATTGGCTGTCGGTCATTGCCGATGTAGTTTTCAGTCAGAACACATTCACACAGCAGGATTGTGAATCGCCGACAGGTCCAGATATTTAGCATGCCAAATATCTCACGGGCGTCGGCGACTCGTCGGCGATTCTCTCAGATCGCGTCTTTGCTCATTCACACTGCGTGATTGTCACTCGCGTGAACGAGCACCGATTTGCCTGTGATTTCGGGCATTTGTCGGCGATTTCTCAAAACCTGTCGGCGAGCCAAAATTGGGGCTAAAATCTTGCAGTCTGAACTCGGCATAAGGAGGAGGAGGTATTTTGCTGCTAGATCCATACTAATGGTTGGTTGGTCGTTCTGTTATGCCGAGTTCAGACTGCACGATTTTCAAAATAATCGGGTCACTGTTGTTTTCACACTGCATGACTATCTGGGGTAACATTCAGTTTCTGCTGTGTTCACACTGCACGATGGATCGGCGACAGGAGGAGGTTTCACACTGCATGACTTTACAAAAGAAAGAATCGCCGACAACTTCTGCCTTGTCCGCAAACTACGTTTCACAACCAAACAAACGCGAGAAGTGATAGGAAATAACGGAAGATCACGCGTGCGTGAGACCGGAGTTCTCGCGCGACACTGAATTTGTTATTAAAAATGATAGCCTACAAATTGTCTGTGCACTGATTTGTAGCGAAAAAACAAAAACAAAAACAAAAACAGTTTATGCAGGAAATGGTTGGGAAGACGAGGGGAGCAAGGACTGTGTTTTGCAAAGAGAGTTGGGGGTAAATAAATAATTTTGCAAATGTCCTGCTGTTGCTTCTGGTCACGCAAATGTTTGTGCTTTGTTTCTGTTTGATATAATTGTAAATATAGGCCTATCTATAACTCCTCCTCCTCCTCCCTGTATCTTGCTCTCTCGTTGGCTGTCGGTCATCGCCGATGTAGTTTTCAGTCAGAACACATTCACACAGCAGGATTGTGAATCGCCGACAGGTCCAGATATTTAGCATGCCAAATATCTCACGGGCGTCGGCGACTCGTCGGCGATTCTCTGAGATCGCGTCTTTGCTCATTCACACTGCGTGATTGTCACTTGCGTGAACGAGCACCGATTTGCCTGTGATTTCGGGCATTTGTCGGCGATTTCTCAAAACCTGTCGGCGAGCCAAAATCGGGGCTAAAATCGTGCAGTCTGAACTCGGCATTACGGGTGTAGCAGGGACAAGGAGAGGTGAGGATATTTAGCAAGCAGTCTTTTTTCAATGAACGCATAACACAAAGGTAATCTAAACCAGGAGCCGATGGCAATAATCCGAACTATGACATAGGCAACACAGGAGACTCATCAGCTTTACATTTAGGTATAAAGACAACAACAGACTGAAACACAAGGGTATAAATATACTGAGTAACAAGATAATGAGGAACAGGTGTGTGTTATGAGTAACCATAGAGACTGACTGACTCATAACACACCTGTTCCTCATTATCTTGTTACTCAGTAGTTACTATATTTATACCCTTGTGTTTCAGTCTGTAGTTGTCGGTTGTTGTCTTTATACCTCAATGTAAAGCTGATGAGTCTCCTGTGTTGCCTATGTCATAGTTCGGATTATTGCCATCGGCTCCTGGTTTAGATTACCTTTGTGTTATGCGTTCATTGAAAAAAGACTGCTTGCAAAATATCCTCACCTCTCCTTCTACAGAAATTAAACACAGGATATGAAAACCAGACACCGTAAGACAGAAGATAATAAAATAAAAGTCCTAGAATAAAAGAAGCAGGGGAATGGTGACACTGTTCTTTTTAGTTTGCATTTTACAACACTTTTTAAATAGCTGCACCAGTGTTATTTTACTATTTTACAGTGTTATATTATAGTATTTAATAATATTTTGAATTAGCATTTATTCAGTTGTCATTTTAATTTTAGTTTGTCATTTTGTCTTTTTTAAATATTTTATTTAGCTTGATTTTTTTATTTCAGATTTAGTTTTAGTGATCAATAATAACACACTACACTGTAAATCATAAACTATAAAAAATAACTTTGGTCATCCTTTTTTATTAGGCCTTATTGTAAAGTATGTGAATGTGAGAAGACCTGGGGAATGGGCTCTCTGTCTTTTAATCACTCAAAGAGTACGTTTACATATTAAATATGCAAGTTTGATCATTATTCGGTGTAGGAGGGCTTTAGGACCCAGTTCTGCCTCTTTTGCTCTCCTGCAGAAGGCAGCACAGACATTAGCGCAGTTGCACTGCTCTCACACACTCACCTAGCAGCACAGATCAGTCAGCCAGACTTACACACACACACCTCACATTCTAACTCAATTTAATGCTGGGATCATTCTGACAATTCACATGCTAGCTGGTTCATCTGAGATCAGGCATCCAGCAGGACCTCCACTGGTGTCTCTCCTGTGTCCTCTCTGGGGTTCAGTCTGTGCCTCTGCTGGAGCTGAACCAAACCCTCTCAGACACTCATCGTATGGACAAAGGTTTGAGTGATGGGATGAGGTGGAGATAGAAAGGCAGACAGAGAGATAGGGAGACAGTGGGTTGGGGGATTGAATAGACTGCGCTGGTTGCTGAAGCAAGGCAAGGAACCGTTGTCAACAGCGACGCAGGAGCAGCATGTCTCAGATGAAAAGATACACTTACAGCAGGGTGAGTGACATACAGTGGACACTCTTTTTGTCACACACGTACTGTCTGTCTGCCACCCTCAAAAACCTACAGTGAACACACGCTTGTTTTTTAATTGTATTAAAGTAGAATTAGTATGTGCTGTGCAGTGATGAGCAGGTGTACAGTATATATATTAGCTCTCAATGTGGACATGCAGATGTTGTAGCATGTGTCAGACAAGAGCATGCGTGGGCTCAGTCAGTGTTCTGGAATTTGTAAGGCTCAGCTTTTTAGCTAAAATGCATTTGCTTGTGTACAAAATGCTATACAATCAATTGCAGTGTTTTTTATTTTTTTTTATGTATGAGGCAGTTTTTACTGCAGGCCAGTATGAAGCAGTGCAATTTTTGGCACATTTGCTGAGTAACACAGCAACAATAACAAAAAGACTTTTTCTTTGACTAAAATCATTTTGTCAGATCATATTTAATTATATTCGTTTAACTTGATTCCAGCCCAAATCCTAATATTAAAACTGAACCAAAGCCTTTACTGTAGCTCAACTTCATTCTCACAAGCTAACATGGTAAAATGTAGTATAATAACTTCCTGTCTAGATCTCCAGACATAAATCTTATGCCCCTTTCCTGTATAAAATATTAGACAGCACTATGAACATAAAACCCCAGTTTAAATGGACTGTTAGGGAATAGTAATGCATCCCCACAAAGATAGTAAAACCTGAAATCATTTACATTAAGGGGAGCAGCCAGCGAACACATTAATAAACTTACCAGTCTTAATTACAACCTAAAAACGCAAAATGGTTTGCGTGAGGAATGGTTTAGGGTTAGAAGATAGAAAATCTCATTAGTTCAATATGAAAACAATAGAGTCCCCACCATGATAGAAGGGCAAATGTGCATTTATTTATTCCTGTGAACTTATTTTCTGAAAAATTGTTGTGTATTATTAGAGGTTCTATAATAGAAGATGTTAGTTACTCAAATATAGGCCTATATTTAATATTTACACACTTTCACATTTTAATAAATACATGTGGAGATAGATTTGATGGACAACATACACTCACCGGCCACTTTATTAGGTACACCTGTCCAACTGCTCGTTAACACTTAATTTCTAAGCAGCCAATCACATGGCGGCAACTCAGTGCATTTAGGCATGTAGACATGGTCAAGACAATCTCCTGCAGTTCAAACCGAGCATCAGTATGGGGAAGAAAGTTGATTTGAGTGACTTTGAACGTGGCATGATTGTTGGTGCCAGAAGGGCTGGTCTGAGTATTTCAGAAACTGCTAATCTACTGGGATTTTCACGCACAACCATCTCTAGGGTTTACAGAGAATGGTCCGAAAAAGAAAAAACATCCAGTGAGCGGCAGTTCTGTGGGCGGAAATGCCTTGTTGATGCCAGAGGTCAGAGGAGAATGGCCAGACTGGTTCGAGCTGATAGAAGGGCAACAGTGACTGAAATAACCACTCGTTACAACCGAGGTATGCAGCAAAGCATTTGTGAAGCCACAACACGCACAACCTTGAGGCGGATGGGCTACAACAGCAGAAGACTCCACCGGGTACCACTCATCTCCACTACAAATAGGAAAAAGAGGCTACAATTTGCAAGAGCTCACCAAAATTGAACAGTTGAAGACTGGAAAAATGTTGCCTGGTCTGATGAGTCTCGATTTCTGTTGAGACATTCAGATGTTAGAGTCAGAATTTGGCGTAAACAGAATGAGAACATGGAACCATCATGCCTTGTTACCACTGTGCAGGCTGGTGGTGGTGGTGTAATGGTGTGGGGGATGTTTTCCTGGCACACTTTAGGCCCCTTAGTGCCAATTGGGCATCGTTTAAATGCCACGGCCTACCTGAGCATTGTTTCTGACCATGTCCATCCCTTTATGGCCACCATGTACCCATCCTCTGATGGCTACTTCCACCATGTCACAAAGCTCTAATCATTTCAAATTGGTTTCTTGAACATGACAATGAGTTCACTGTACTAAAATGGCCTCCACAGTCACCAGATCTCAACCCAATAGAGCATCTTTGGGATGTGGTGGAACGGGAGATTCGCATCATGGATGTGCAGCCGACAAATCTGCGGCAACTGGGTGATGCCATCATGTCAATATGGACCAAACTCCCTGAGGAATGCTTCCAGCACCTTGTTGAATCTATGCCACGAAGAATTGAGGCAGTTCTGAAGGCAAAAGGGGGTCCAACCCGTTACTAGCATGGGATACCTAATAAAGTGGCCGGTGAGTGTATAACTGATTCAGAAACTGATTCATTATGGAAAAGCTCCACTGCTTAAGCTTCATAAGGAACTAAAAATTATTTGGCTTTTGCGTAAAGCTTCACAAGATCTATTCCAAAAAATACATTCCTTAACCCATAGTTTTCAACCCTTACTGACACAGTTAGTGACTTATTTCTGCCGAGTCATAAGTCAGTTTTCCGTAACTCCTGTCCTGTGCTCACAATGTACAGTATTATTCAGCTTAATCTTTCAACATTCGTCAGCAACATCATTATTTTCCATCTGTCTGTGTAATGAATGAATATGTCACCTTGCAGTGAGCTGCTGCCAGTCTTTGCAGTGGTCTGAGTTTTCGAGTTGCGAAGAGGTCACATCTATCATTTGTGTTCTCTTTCTATTGTTACATTGTAACCTAATGTTCCCACCTCTTTAGAGTTTACAATTAGAGTCAGCAAGAATAATAAAACACTGCAAATATTGTGCCTTAGCTTGTTACCTTTATGTGTCTGGTGCTTATTTTTAGTTTCTGAAATAAAACTCATTTTGGACCCAAGCCTCTGTGTGATTAGAGAGAGTTAAAATGACTTAATAGAAGTGAAATGGAGCATGTCTCTCAGGATCAGCTGGTGTGTGTGTGTGTGTGTGTGTGTGTGTGTGTGTGTGTTTCTGCACACTGTGACTGCAGGTAACAATGCTTCTGCTTCATCTGGAGTCTTCTGCAGTAAAAGGCTGCGTCACAAACTTTTTTTCAGCCATGAGCTCGGGTATGAGTGCTTCTAAATAACCCCCAATTGTCCTCTCAGACATGCAATCTGAAGGGCATGAGAGACTAGTTCAGATACTTAATGAGGAGTCTGCAAATGGCCTCAACTCCCCCAGATCATCAATTCAGTTTGAATCTGATTGGCTGAGCTGCCAATCTAGAAATCTGATTGGCTGGAGGAGTGCCAATATACGTTCCAACAGCACTGGGACTTTTCACTGTGTGTCACTCCACTTGTCTGTGTTTGTGTATTCCAGAATCCAGATAGACTGTCAAGAGTTTTAGTGATGGGGATTTTTTTTTGACTGCATGTTACATTGTTACGCCAGTAATTCATTCGTTCATTCAAACGATTTATTCAAAAATGCTGATTCATTCTAGAACGAAACAAATAAACTGCCTTTATTAGTCATTGAATGATTAATTCAACTAATTTGTTACAAATAAACACAATATCAAACAGGATCTGCTGTGACTTCGTTTGGTACTATTTTCATTGGCACAACAAAAACAGTCAAATAAACTGACAGTGTTGTGTATTAAAGGTAGGGTAGGCAATGGTTTACATAAACACTTTTTGTTATACTGGTTGAAACTCTCTTCACATCCTGATAGCAATCAATAATAGAATTGGTCTAAATATTAAAACATTTACATATATCTTCTATGGAAGTCTCAGGACTAAAAATGTTTTTACAATCTTTGCATTCGGTCCAAATGCAGTGATAGGATGTCCTATCTGCCTGCAAATGTATTTCCATACCTCTGCAAACCCTGCTCTCGCAGACATCACACGTCCTCAGTGCGTTTCATGAGGCTGTGCAGACAGACAGTCACAGAGCGCCGCAAACATAGACTGTAAAAAAAGATGGACGACGCCCCTTCGCTCTCTTCCATTGGTCAGAAGTGAAACCGCCAGTGTCCCGATATGGCACTGACATCTTGGAACTTGAGTCTGCGCAGTAGCGATCTCAGGACCAGACCTGCGCAGTAGTGAGCAGGAAGTAAAGCCGCGAAATCAAGGCCCCGCCCTCGCTCTCGCAGAATCAATCGCAAGCACACGCTCCTGCACTTTTTTTTATTAATTATAGAAATTTAGATATTAAATTTAAAGCTCCAACCTCCTCAGTCCTCCGAAGATCCTGAAAAAAAGTCTGTTGGTGCTTCAGTGACTACTTTGCTCAGAGAACCTGTCAATCACAGCTGTCAATCATGACGTCACACCACCGCATCAAATTAACTAACTAAAAACAAACTTATTTTAAAAACAAACACTTGAAATTACATCAGCGTGATAAAAACTACAGTAAATGACAGAAACCATATTTGGAAAAACGATATTTGAAGTGTAATTTAATTGTTTAATTGGTCTCACGTGCCGTTGATTAACATGGGGAGGCGGGGTTTATGACCTATACTAGGACCGGCCACCGGGCGGGGGCGATCGAGACGTTTTGGCTTCACTTTCAGGGCTTGTGTGGCATGCTTGGGCGCAAACAAACAGCAGCCTTCTTTTACAGTTCCTCCTGAACCAAAACAACAAGCTTTATGCTGCTTTCACGCCATGTTGTCGCAATGACCGTAATTAAGAGATGGCAACCCGTGACTCCCATAGCTGTTCACGACCGCAGACTTGGAATTATGTGTTTCTATGGCAACATTATCAATGCCGAAATTAATCTGCAGCAGTCAGGTGGTACAAGTCAGTGGTGTGGTCTTTAGCCTCCTTGTTAGAGCGCCCACCTCCTACGCCGGAGACTCCTGTTCGAATCCCGCTCGAAGCGGGTTGAGTAGAGTAGTATAAAAGCAGTATCACACAGTCATGTTGCTTCCTACTCTAATGACTTCTCAGAAATATCCCAGCCATCGTTCCTAGTTTGTGACGTTTAGTAACAGAATTAGTAATGGAAGCTTGGATACATCTTATCAACGGCCACCCTTTGGTATGCTTTAATATAACTTTAATATCAAACCAAGTGACGAAAATATCAAACAAAGTTATAGTTTCAAATAAAAAAATGCTGTTAGAGAAGTTCTCAAAACTAATGTCCTTTATCCTAGCCATTTTTGCACTGATTTTTGGATCATTTTTCATGGATCATGGGTGATCCATGCATTTTTATCATCTCGATTATTGTAATTCCTTATACTATGGAATAAACTCCACTACTCTAGCACGTCTTCAGGTAGTCCAAAATGCAGCAGCGAGACTTTTAAAAGGCATCCGCAAACGTGAACGCATTACACCAATTCTAGCATCACTTCACTGGCTCCCGGTTCGCTTTAGGGTTGATTTTAAAATTCTAAATAAGTGCCTAAATAACCTAGCTCCCCCCTACCTTTCCGAGCTATTAGTGCAATACAATCCCTCCAGAGGTCTTAGGTCAGGGACACAGAAACTTTTATCTATCCCACGGTTCAGACTAAAACAAAGAGGTCATCGTGCCTTTGCCATTGCGGGCCCTACATTATGGAATAGTTAGCCTTTTCATGTTAGATCTATCTGACCTGTCAATCTTCAAGTCAAGTCTGAAAACCTATTTTTATTCAATTGCTTTTAATAATCTGTAATTTGTATTTTAATTTTAATTTAGTTTGTTTGTCTGTTGTGTACTTTTATGCTCTTATGTAAAGCACATTGGTCAGCTTGCCTGTATAAATTGTGCTATATACATTTTGACTTGACTTGACTTGACTTTTAACTGGCTGGTCTCAAAGGGGATTTTTAGTGGATGTACAGTATGAAGTCAGTTCTCCTCAAGTTCACACATGTGTCCTGGCAGAGTGAACATGATCCACTAACGTTTGACAACCAGAAAGAGTCCAAATTCTTTTAAAACCTAAAAACTTCCTTTAAAAAGCCAATAGGTTTAATATATTGAATCTAATGCAATGGTATTCAGACACATGTGACTAAAGTGTTCAAGGTAACAATTTATTTCAGTAGTCCACTAGACATTTTACTAGCTATAAGTAACTTTGTAACTATATGTCAACTAGCGGTCATCAGAGTATTAGTAGACTGTCTGCTTCATATCTGCTAACAGATTATTTTATGCTCCCCCAACAGACATTCTACTGACTATAAGTGACTTTGTGAGTATGTCAACTTATTCTTCTAACCCTAACCCTAACCTAACAGTCTACTATTACTCTACTGAGAGTTAGTTGACATGAAGTTGCAAATGAATGAGAGTTAGTTGACATGTAGCCGCAAAGTTACTTATAGATTCTATGAATATAAGAAAATGCAAACATATAGAACATTAAACATTAAATTTCTTCCACATTTGCAAAGCATAATGTCTATGGGTCTATCGAAATAAAGTGTAACCAAATATTTTAGGGGCACTGTAAGCAAGAACATCTGGTCAGTTCTGGTCATCTGGTCTACCATTTTCTTTGATTTAATCAAAAGCTCTTTTTTTCGCTCAAGGTTTTTTCTCTCTCGTCCTCAGACCACCAGCAGCGGCAGCAGCAGAATGAGTTCAGATGGAGGTGGGCGGCCTGTTAAGGTGGGCTCTCTAGTTGAGGTCATCGGTAAAGGTCATCGAGGTACCGTGGCATATATTGGAAACACCCTCTTTGCCTCTGGAAAATGGGTGGGAGTCATTCTAGAGGAACCTAAAGGGAAGAATGATGGGACTGTGCAGGGCAAACGATATTTCACCTGTCAGGAGAACCATGGTATATTTGTACGCCAATCACAGGTACTCCCACACATGCTTGCAGCTTATAAACACAAACGGGTGTGACAGGTTAAAAAATGTACAGTAAATCTTCTTGGAAACTGCTGTGACCTCTTGCAGATTCAGTTAGTTGAAGATTTGGCTGACACAACATCTCCTGACACGCCAGAAGCTGCCACCTCCAAAATGCTGAAACGAGGTAGGAAATCAGTTTCATGCACATCTGCTTGCAACCATTTTTTTTTAACATGAAATTGTAATCATCTCATTTTATCCTTTCTTCTCAGAGATAATTGAAGGTCCAAGGTCAAACAAAGTGGTGAGTGAGAAAAGGGATCTAAACATATGTTCATATATCGTTTCACATACAAACTCCAGTGGTCTTTTGAACAGGTGTTTAGTCTTGCTTAGCCAGACTTTCACAGTTTATTCTGACCAAGAACTGCCCACTCAGACAGGAAATGACTATCTGACCCATCTTAAAAAGCCATCAATTATAGTCTGACTTTTTAAATGCTAGGCGAGTTCATCTGAAATTGTTGATACCACAATAATAGTCTGGTCTGTCACAGGCTCTACCAAAAAGCAATTCAGCAGAAATGTGTGTAGTTAGACCCACCTCTGATGACTTTGAAAGTTGCATATAGTGCCAACCAATCAGATTAGAGCTCACCATTTCAGGTAGCTCTTGCCATGTTTATGTGTAATATACATTAGGTGGTCTGTGAATAGCCTGTGGTGGTGTGTCATCATCTGAGGCGGACTACTTTACGTTAAACGCATTGCGAATTAACTCTTCTTTCCAGCAGAGGGGGATATAGTAACACTCTCTGGCCTCGAACTACTGGTCATCCTGTATATGTCTGTAGAAGTGAACCATGTTTCTGAATCCCTTCATATTTTCACGGGCCACTGCTAACATTAATTTAACAAGCATGTCTTTGCACTTTGTAATTCTTCCCAGTCCCAACCAAAAAATACACAAACACGCATATAGTCCTCGTCTCTTGTGAAAAAGAAGTGTGCTTAATTCTACTGAATGTAGTGTATTTCAAATCTTGCTATGACATACTACAGCACAAGTGTTGTACTTGATTTCAATTTTATTTTAACTGTGGTATTCGATATTACATTTAAAATGAATATATTTTAAATGTAACAAACTGCAACTTAATCGTTACAAATTTGTGATTACAAATATATTTAAATACATGACATACAAGTTTCAACAGAAATGACATTAAAGTAAATTTTTAGTTTACTACTAAATTTTGTCACTACATTCGGCAGTACACTTTAATCATATTTCATAGAATAAAATAAATACTAAATACTTCTTTTTCACAAAGGGTCATAAACCTGCCCTCACTAATACAAACATGCATGAACGCAACCTGTCTGTTTTTTTTCATAGACTTTTTATAAGGTTTCTGCCTAAGATACAGAAAGATTATTGCACTGTTTGTGTGGAAATCTTGGTGTGTTTGTATGTGAGAGACATTCATGCTCATTACAAACACACTGACTGATCAAACTTTAATCTGTCACCTCTTCCTCCTCCATCTGAGTGTGCAGAGAGGAACCAAACCAAAAAAGGTGCTGCATGTTTCTCTAACCTCTGTTTCAGCAATGATAATACAGCTCTTCAGTGTGTGTGTGTGTGTGTGTGTGTGTATGTGTATGTGTGATGCGTGTTTGTTTCTACATCGTTTATATTCATTTTATGTACATTTATTCATGTGTGCAAGTGCTTTGCTAGCTGGATGGCAGTGTTCTTTGGCAAATGGATGCTTTTAAATGGATTATATGAATAAGCATGCTGAGTACAATGTGTTTATGTGTGTGAGATAGTTTGTTGGTGCAGGTATACACAATTACTTTGTCACTGAGATTGCACATTTCTTAAAAGTCATTTTAAAAATGAGTTGTGTCCGTGTGCATTTAAATAATATTTTCTACATACTTAAAGTTTTCAATGCACATTTATTTCTTAATGTGAAAGCTGCATATATGCATGTATTATAAATGTAGTCTCTAAATTTAACCTCTAGATACATATTTATCTTGGTTCATCTTAAACACATTTCAAAACAAATATGAACAGCAGTATTTTCTATGGATATACTTTTATTAAAAAAATAGTCTAAGACCTCATTGAAAATCTGAGATTCAAAATGTAGTTTACACTTAGAAAATTTTGAGGATTTTGAATAATTTAAGCAAACTACAGCTGCAGGTTTTATTTTACTATGCAAATAAAATGCATAAAAAACATAAAGCACACAGTAAAAGGCATATATTTACTACAACATAATCGTTTGTTCTTTCTCGTTTTTGCATCTATTTAGAATTTCTTTCTATGGCCAAAAATTATGTCCACACAATTTGGCATGTTTCATTGCGTTATCATAAATGAAACAATTGTCTTCAATCACAGCTACGCAATATGCTTACTAAATAAAATAAAATAAAATAAAAATTGAATAAAGGGTGAATATTTCAATTGTTTTAGGCTGTATACCACCTCTGGCCACTACCGTATTTCTACATCACTAAGAAATTATGCTAAAATATATATTTTTTACTGTATTTTTTGTTTTATTTTTTACAGTAATTTTTTAAGGATTGTTTTCTTTGTAGAAGAATCATTTTGGGTTCCCCCAAAAAATTCAGCAAACAGTTCTTGAAATAACCATTTTTAGTGTGAAGAACAATTTTATAATCTAAAGAACCTTTTTCCACTAAAAAGCTTTTTGCATTGAAAAGGTTCTATGGATGTCAGATATTCTTCATGGAACCATCATTGCCAAAAAGAAGCTTTATTTTTTAAGAGTGTAGATATGTTTGTTTAAAGACCGAGAGATTGATTCCCCACTGAGCCAAACCTTGTACGGCATCCTGGCTTGGCATTAGCTGTCTTGTCATTAGGCCACCAATGAAACATTGAGCTTGAAAGCCCTGTGTGCGCATCCCTGCAGTTTCTTCTAAATGTCAGTGTTTGAGGGTAATGGTATTTAGGAGGATATCTGGTTCAGGCTGTCAGGATTGTTTGGAGCTCTTGCTATGAGGACATTAATAGAGAAAAGGCCCGGTATTTAACTGGCGTATAACCTTCACTTCTTTAACATTAGAAAACAGTGGTAACATCAATGAATTCAGCATAACTTTGGTAATAGAAACTACGCTTGTTCAATATGCATGGGGTTTATTTGTTTATTTCCTTAATTAAAGCTAAACCACAGTGTTAACCTTTTACTAGTAATTTTCTTTACCAATTTTACCGCACCCACCAAAGTTACTTGATCTTAAGGATAGTCCGTGATAGTGAAATGGTCATCTTGGTGGAATTATGAATGACTAAAGAAAATTTTCGACTAAAAGTAGCTGTGTAAGTGTTTTGAAACCCTATATCCAAAAGCATACAGCAGTGCAGAAGTTGGCATCGTATTTTTTAAACAGTTGCATTATATTGTGTTAACATTATATATCAAAATATTATATCATATTATTATATTATTATATCATTATAATATATTATTATCATTATATTTAAAAATATCATATTTAATATATAGTAGTTATGTAAAATTATAAATCAATATAACATTTTATATATACAAGAATATTTTATATCTTATATACAAGTTTTAGTTAGTACTATCTTACAACTAGTAAGTATCATGTAAGTAGGCCTTAGATATGGCATGACAATGGAATGGGATGCAGAGAGGAAACAGTGAAAGGCCTATTATTCACTTTTGTTCATCCCCCTCTCTGTTTTCTACTACACATCACTTTTCTCTCTTGCAGAGCTGTAATGTGATACATCAATCTGTCTCCATCCTTCTCTACTCTCTTCTTTAATGGATCTGCAAATCATGCTCTAACAAACCACACTAATGCATTTTTAAACATACAGAAACACGTTTCAAATCTTAGAATGTTTTATATTGAATTAGGGGTAAAACTTTGGTAACACTTTACAATAAGGTTTCATTTCTTAACAGTTCACTATATTAGTTAACATGAACTAACAATGAACGATACTTTTACAGCATTTATTGAACTTAGTAAAATGTAAACAAATAGAACTTTGGATTTTTAAAATGTATTAGTGAATGTTGAAATTGCCATTAACTAAGAATAAAAAAAAAAAGTAGAAGTATTTTTCATTAGTTCATGTTACGTAACCAAAACCAACACAGACCTCAGCTGACGTTTTTCTTTTTCTGGCTAACCAAACTCAAGCCGGGAACAAAAAGATGCCTTTTGTTTTTTGTTTCTTTTTGTTGGCCAGACAAAAGGCAGAGCTCAGTCTAATTCTGTTTTACACAAGACACTAATTCTGTTTGACACCAGAATCAAGCCAGAACTGCAGAATGTAAGCCAGATTTGGCACAGACTCTGTTGCTATCTGGGTACCTGGTTACCTGTAGTTAACTGTTTGGTGGCTGGGTACCTGTAGCTAACTAATGGGTACCTGTAGTTAACTGTTTGGTGGCTGGTACCTGTAGCTAACTAATGGGTACCTGTAGTTAACTGTTTGGTGTCTGGGTACCTGTAGCTAACTAATGGGTACCTGTAGTTAACGGTTTGGTGGCTGGTACCTGTAGCTAACTAATGGGTACCTGTAGTTAACTGTTTGGTGTCTGGGTACCTCTAGCTAACTAATGGGTACCTGTAGTTAACGGTTTGGTGGCTGGTACCTGTAGCTAACTAATGGGTACCTGTAGTTAACTGTTTGGTGGCTGGTACCTGTAGCTAACTAATGGGTACCTGTAGTTAACTGTTTGGTGGCTGGTACCTGTAGCTAACTAATGGGTACCTGTAGTTAACTGTTTGGTGTCTGGGTACCTGTAGCTAACTAATGGGTACCTGTAGTTAACCGTTTGGTGGCTGGGTACCTGTAGCTAACTAATGGGTACCTGTAGTTAACTGTTTGGTGGCTGGGTACCTGTAGCTAACTACCTGTAGTTAACTGTTTGGTGGCTGGTACCTGTAGCTAACTAATGGGTACCTGTAGTTAACTGTTTGGTGGCTGGGTACCTGTAGCTAACTAATGGGTACCTGTAGTTAACTGTTTGGTGGCTTGTACCTGTAGCTAACTAATGGGTACCTGTAGTTAACTGTTTGGTGGCTGGGTACCTGTAGCTAACTAATGGGTACCTGTAGTTAACTAATGGGTGGTTGGGTACCTGTAGTTAACTAATGGGTACCTGTAGTTAACTGTTTGGTGGCTAGGTACCTGTAGCTAACTAATGGGTACCTGTAGTTAACTGTTTGGTGGGTGGTACATGTAGCTAACTAATGGGTACCTGTAGTTAACTAATGGGTGGTTGGGTACCTGTATTTAACTGTTTGGTGGCTAACCAAACTCAAGCCGGGAACAAAAAGATGCCTTTTGTTTTTTGTTTCTTTTTGTTGGCCAGACAAAAGGCAGAGCTCAGTCTAATTCTGTTTTACACAAGACACTAATTCTGTTTGACACCAGAATCAAGCCAGAACTGCAGAATGTAAGCCAGATTTGGCACAGACTCTGTTGCTATCTGGGTACCTGGTACCTGTAGTTAACGGTTTGGTGGCTGGTACCTGTAGCTAACTAATGGGTACCTGTAGTTAACTGTTTGGTGTCTGGGTACCTGTAGCTAACTAATGGGTACCTGTAGTTAACGGTTTGGTGGCTGGTACCTGTAGCTAACTAATGGGTACCTGTAGTTAACTGTTTGGTGGCTTGTACCTGTAGCTAACTAATGGGTACCTGTAGTTAACTGTTTGGTGGCTGGGTACCTGTAGCTAACTAATGGGTACCTGTAGTTAACTAATGGGTGGTTGGGTACCTGTAGTTAACTAATGGGTACCTGTAGTTAACTGTTTGGTGGCTAGGTACCTGTAGCTAACTAATGGGTACCTGTAGTTAACTGTTTGGTGGGTGGTACATGTAGCTAACTAATGGGTACCTGTAGTTAACTAATGGGTGGTTGGGTACCTGTATTTAACTGTTTGGTGGCTAACCAAACTCAAGCCGGGAACAAAAAGATGCCTTTTGTTTTTTGTTTCTTTTTGTTGGCCAGACAAAAGGCAGAGCTCAGTCTAATTCTGTTTTACATAAGACACTAATTCTGTTTGACACCAGAATCAAGCCAGAACTGCAGAATGTAAGCCAGATTTGGCACAGACTCTGTTGCTATCTGGGTACCTGGTACCTGTAGTTAACGGTTTGGTGGCTGGTACCTGTAGCTAACTAATGGGTACCTGTAGTTAACTGTTTGGTGTCTGGGTACCTGTAGCTAACTAATGGGTACCTGTAGTTAACGGTTTGGTGGCTGGTACCTGTAGCTAACTAATGGGTACCTGTAGTTAACTGTTTGGTGGCTGGTACCTGTAGCTAACTAATGGGTACCTGTAGTTAACTGTTTGGTGGCTGGTACCTGTAGCTAACTAATGGGTACCTGTAGTTAACTGTTTGGTGTCTGGGTACCTGTAGCTAACTAATGGGTACCTGTAGTTAACCGTTTGGTGGCTGGGTACCTGTAGCTAACTAATGGGTACCTGTAGTTAACTGTTTGGTGGCTGGGTACCTGTAGCTAACTACCTGTAGTTAACTGTTTGGTGGCTGGTACCTGTAGCTAACTAATGGGTACCTGTAGTTAACTGTTTGGTGGCTGGGTACCTGTAGCTAACTAATGGGTACCTGTAGTTAACTGTTTGGTGGCTTGTACCTGTAGCTAACTAATGGGTACCTGTAGTTAACTGTTTGGTGGCTGGGTACCTGTAGCTAACTAATGGGTACCTGTAGTTAACTAATGGGTGGTTGGGTACCTGTAGTTAACTAATGGGTACCTGTAGTTAACTGTTTGGTGGCTAGGTACCTGTAGCTAACTAATGGGTACCTGTAGTTAACTGTTTGGTGGGTGGTACATGTAGCTAACTAATGGGTACCTGTAGTTAACTAATGGGTGGTTGGGTACCTGTATTTAACTGTTTGGTGGCTGGGTACCTGTAGCTAACTAATGGGTACCTGTAGTTAACTAATGGGTGGTTGGGAACCTGTAGTTAACTAATGGGTACCTGTAGTTTACTAATGGGTGGTTGGGTACCTGTAGTTAACTAATGGGTACCTGTATTTAACTAATGGAGGCTGGGTACCTGTATTTAACTAATTGGTGTCTGGGTACCTGTAGGTAACTAAAAGGTGGCTCGGAACCTGTAGTTAACAAATAGAACCTTATTGTAGAGTGTTACTGAATTAGGATTAGACAATGTTTTTGGGTGTGCTTAACTGTGGAACTTGTGTAGATATATCATCAATTTAAACCATAAGTTGGTAAAACAGGTAGAGTAAAACATGGTCTGCCTGCACTCATACTCAGACGTGTTCCTGCCACTACACTGGCCTGAAGAGCCCATAGAGATACTAATGGAGTGTTGCTAGGATACAGGCTAGACTCCCATCAGTCCCTTCCTTTCTCCCTCTTTCCCCTTTTGTTACAGCCTCTCTCTCTTTTCTCTCTCTCTCTCTCTCTCTCTCTCTCTCTCTCTCTCTCTCTCTCTCTCTCTCTCTCTCTCTCTCTCTCTCTCTCTCTCTCTCTGTCTGTCTGTCTGGAGGAAGGGAGGGGTGTATGTGTAGTGATGTAATGTACTTGCTAAGCAGCCGTTGGCACAGCAGAGCGGCACTGAGAGCTTATGAGTGGAAAGAGCAGGAGAGCGAGAGATGGATGCAGACAGAGAGAGACGGCTACTGTTTAGCAGAACCTCAAGGACAGCATTATAATCAGAGAAGTGTTTAGAAAAGGGCTCGGTTCTGTTCTTGTTGGAGAAAAGGATTAAAATTGCTGCAGTGCAAGAGAGGAGAGTCATTTCAGCTGCAGCAGAGACAACCTGCAACACCGTCGCCGTGTGTGTGTGTGTGTGTTTGTGTGTCTAGCACTTGCCAACTGCTGTATGAGTGTTTGTGGCTTTGCTGTGGGCTTGGCCTGCTCTCATCTCGATCTGCTGCTAATGTGACTCAATCCCTTTTCCTGCTCTTTTTCTGCACCTGGTGTGTGTGTGTGTGTGTGTGTGTGTGTGTGTGCACCTGTTTGTGTCTTTTTTCTCTTCAATCGTCAATATGAGACAGGCACCTACGACTCGTAAGGTACAGATTGTTTACTACTTCTGTGGCATGCAAAACTCTCTGTGGTTTATTGCGTTAGGGTTTTTGTGATTCTGGAGACAATTTTCCTTTTCTTTTTCTCTGATCGTTGGTATGTCAGTGCAGGTTCTTATTCTATTCATTAAGTTCATTTGAATTCATTTGTTTGATTAGTACATTTTGTTCTCTTAATAGACAACCATAACTAAAAACATCTGATGATATACAGTGGCCACTAAAAGTATTTAACTTGAAAATGTATGAATGTATTTGCATTTTAAAACAAAATAACAAAACGTGTGGTATTAAATTAAATGAATAAAGCACTTCACTAGCAAAATAATTCCTAAAAAGAAGTTTGTTCTGGTTTCAGTATGATACAATAAATATATTGTATATAAATGATTCTGGTTAGTGGATCATATTCATAGTTGAAGTGATTTTCATCTTTAAGTGATTTTCCTTTTATAGAGAAGTTATAGCCTACGCAAAACAATTAGGTGTAGAAACAACATTTTTAACAGAAATTTCTAGTAAATTTCACAAATAATTACAAAGAAAGGGCAAGTAACCCACTGACTTGGAAAAATAGTTTTTCATAAGTGTGATTCTAATAATAAGTGTGACGTTTGGGGCAACTGTTTATACATTACAGTTTAGGGGTCAGTTTGGGGTCAGTAAGATGTTTTTTTTAAAAGAAATTAATACTTTTTTCAAGAATGCATTGAATTGATCAAAATTGACAGTCGACATTTATAATGTTACAAATCATTTCTATTTCAAATAGATGTGGCTATTTTGATCTTTTCATTAATCAAAGAATCCTAAAAAAAGTATCAGTTTCCACAAAAATATTAAGCAGCACAACTGATAATAAAACGAAATGTTTCTTCAGCAGCAAATCAGCATATTAGAATGATTTCTGAAAGATCATGTGACACTGAGTAAGGATGCTGAAAATTCAGCTTTGACATATGTTAAAAATAGTAAACAGGTATTTTAATTTGTAATAATACTATATAATATTAATATTTTCACTTTGTTTTTGATCAAATAAATGCAGCCTTGGTGAGCATAAGAGACTTTTTTTTAAAACATTAAAACATCCTAATGACCCCAAATATTTGTACGGTAGTGTAAACTCAACTGGCATATAGATTTATAATATTTCACTATTATGTGTATGTACAAAAGGTTTGTCTTAGTTGTAAGTATCATATGATCTGTTTAACAATACAAACATGTGCTGATATGTAAACGAGTGTACTTGTTTGACCCAGTTGGTGCCAGGCACTCTGCTTGGTGGGCAGACAGACAGCCTCATAGAGTGGGTTAGTGTTTGCCTCTTTATGTGCTAAACGAGTATTTTTGATGTTAGGGACATGAGACAGACAGCAGAGCTTGTCAACATGTGATGAGATAAACGTGTGAAGGTTACTGAGGCTCACACAGACACTTTTGGAGTTCTTGTTTAATGCATGTGCCTTACTAATCTTTACTATATGTGTGTTTTCTCCTGTTTTTTCTTTGATTCTCCTTTCTTCATCTTTCCACTAACTCGTGGTGGTCATAAATCTGTGTCCGTTTGTCCTCTCCTCAGACCACGGCCAGAAGGCCCAAGGTGAGCTCAGTCCTGCAGGTCACATGCATAATTTGAGAGTTATTGTTAGAAGTTGAGCGTCAGTGATCTCTGCGTCTCTCTTTCAGCAAACGCGGGCTGGAGTGGGCGTGAAGGTGGGCTCTGGATCAGCGTCTGCTGGAGAGATGAGCAGCAGTGAACCCAGCACACCTGCCCAAACACCACTGGCTGCTCCAGTTATACCTTCACCTGTGGGAAAACTGCCCTCTCCTGGGGCTCCTCCCTTCCCGGGCCCCAGCAAGGTCAGATCCTTTCAGTCACACATGGTTACAGACACAAATGAACCACTGTTTTTTTTTGTGTTTTTTTTTACTAGAATTTGCCAGTGTGTTGCCAACTTGCCATGCATTCACTTTTGCATCATTTGCAATGTTAAAATGTCTGTAAAGGTTTTCAGTTGTCAAGGTCACAGATGTTGTGAAAGATGTTGCGTCACTCAAAGGCTACTGATCGGTTGTCACACGTTGCTGCAATGATGAGCATGACTCAGGAGAATATGACAAAAACATAGATGGTCTTTAATCCAATAATCTATATACTAGTAACAATGTAAAACTCAGATGATGAATAATGAACAGAGAGACATCAAGGCTTAAATACTCAGGGATGTAATCAACTGAGCAGAAACAGGTGCATGAAACTAATTAACAACAAAGGAAACTAACTAAGGGTGTATTCACACCTGCCTTGTTTGGTTCGATTGAATCGAACTCTAGTTCGTTTCCCCCCTTGGTGCGGACCTTTTGGGCAGGTGTGAATACAGCAATCGAACTCGGGTGCGGACCAAACAACCGAACCGAGACCCAGCTGAAGAGTTGGTCTCGGTACGGTTCCAAACGAACTCTGGTACGGTTCGTTTACGGTGTGAACATGAATGGACACACACGTGTGGTTTTGTTTACAAATTTTGGTTCACTAGCAAAAAGAGCAGTGTGAAAGTGAACCGTACCAAAAAAAAAAAAAAAAATGTATTTGGTCCGGACCAAAGCAAGTGAACTATCGGACTTTCCTGGTGTGAATACACCCTAAGGAACACAGCCAGGCAAAACAGGGACAGAAGGATTTCATTTTCACTGTGTTCTGTCCCTGTTTTGCCTGCCTGTGAGACATGTGATGTGTGAGAAACAGCAAATGAGGGGAAAATAATTGTAAAACAAAATATGACATGTTAGCAAAATACTTTTATTGTGTCATTTCCAATCAAGCTGTAATTTTACATTTTTAAAAAGTTGGCTATGGAATTTTCCAAATGCTATTAAACATAATACATATTTTGAGATGTAATGGAAACGAATTAATTCTCCTGTGATGTATTATGTATGTACTGTGTGTACAAATCAAATATACTAGTTACTAGAGTGAAAAAAGTCTTTTCTAAAAGTCCACAGGGCCAAAAGTGCCAGTAGTTGAAGAAACACCTAAATCATTTAGAAGGTTCTTAACTATTGTGCAAAAAAATACAGAACATAGCATTTCTCTGCCATTCATGTAAATGTGATAGTTGTTTCTCTCACAATCTCTGCACTCTGCTTGCAGGAAGAGGAGTCACTGCGTGCCCAGGTGAAGGATCTGGAGGAGAAGTTGGAGACACTGAAGATGAAGAGGATGGAGGACAAGATTAAGCTGAAGGAGCTTGAGAAGCACAAGATTCAGCTGGAGCAGCTGCAGGAGTGGAAGAGTAAGATGCAGGAACAACAAAACGAATTGCAGAAACAACTCAAAGAGGCCAAGAAGGTATTGACTATATTTTTACTACACAGTAATAGTCCACAATACTGTATGTCGTGATAAGTGTCATTGTGTGGATAATGAAGCTGCTGACTCATATTAATGTAGGAAGCTAAGGAAGCTCTTGAAGCTAAAGAGCACTACATGGAAGAGATGGCAGATACAGCAGATGCCATTGAGATGGCCACCCTGGATAAGGAAATGGCTGAAGAACGGGCCGAATCACTGCAACTGGAGGCTGACGCTCTAAAAGAGAGAGTGGATGAGCTGACCATGGACTTGGAGATACTCAAACATGAGATAGAGGAAAAAGGTACAAATAAATGCAATTTATTCCCGTGATCCAGAGTTGAATTTTCAGCATCATTACTTCAGTCTTCAGTGTCACATGATCCTTAGGAAATCCTTCTAATATGCTGATTTGGTGCTTTAAGAAACAATTTTAAAAACAAAATGGTGCGGTTTCATATTTTTTTAATTTTTTTATTTTACTGTGTTTTTATTGATCATTTTTCAAGCTTTCAACATTTAGAAAGACAGGGGAGGAAGGGAAAGAAAGCGGTTTCATATTTTTATAGAAACGGTTTCATATTTGAGAATTTATTTTCAGAATGATGAATAAATAGAAAGTTCAAAAGAACAGCATCTATTTAGAATAGAAATCATGTAAATAATAAATGTCTGTACTGTCTGTATTGATCAATTTAATGAGCCCTTGCTAAAATAAAAAAGTATTCATTTCTTTCCAAAAAAAACCCCCATCTTACTTTTAAATGGTAGTGTGCATTTCAGTACATAAATCACCACAATTATTAATTCAGGTTCGGATGGAGCAGCGTCTAGTTACCATGTAAAGCAGTTAGAGGAGCAGAATGCTCGACTGAAGGAGGCTTTGGTGAGGTGAGTCTGTGTTCAGTCCCATTGTTCAATCGATGCTACTTGATTTAATGATGCTCTGTGAAGATTATAATATCAATTTCCCTGTGCATTAGGATGCGTGACTTGTCAGCATCAGAGAAACAAGAGTATGGAAAGCAACAGAAACAAATGGAGAAGAAAAATTTTGAGCTGGATACACTTAGATGCCATAAAGAAAAACAACAGGAGGAAATGAAGATGGCTGAGAAAACTATCGATGAGCTCAAAGAGCAAGTGAGTTGTGCCAGTACTAAAACTAAGAGATGTAGTGACAGCTTTTTATATCTCTGTGTGTTCTTCAAAACTTTTGTAACTTTGGACACTCAACTTTGCTATATGTACCATGGTACTAAATTAATATCATATTCATATACAATGGTACCCTCTCCAAAAATGCATGGGAATACCATAAGGTACTCCGAGTTTAACCGGTCCTACTTGATCCTATTCTGAGCGGGATTCGAAACGTTGTTTCCGGCGTGGGAAGCAGCCGCGCTAACAAGGACACTAAAGCCGCAACCGCTAGTGCGCCTCTTGAGGCCAGGGGATTGAGATTCTTACTGGCCTATATTACACTCACCCCCCCTAAACCTCACTCCCATCTGGGTCATGGCACCAAATTACACCAGTCCTATTTGACCGGCTCCGAGCGGGATTTGAACCTTGGTCTCCGGCGGTGAGAGGTGGCCGCGCTAACAAGGACGCTAAAGGCTGTGGTTGCCAGCGTGCCTCTTAAGCCCAGGGGAGTGAGGTTTACACGCACAGCTCTTACTTCAAATACTATGGTACATGTCCAAAAATTATGCTAATTTACATAACTTGTTTGTTTTGCCATGTCCAAAAATCAACTTTGCTTTATGTACCGTGGTGCTGAATGAACATCATATTAATGTACCATGGTACCATATCCAATAAAATGTGGTAATATCAAATGGTACTTCAAGCCATTTCAAAGAATACTATGGTACATGTTTTTTTTTCCATTGTATGTTCAAAGGAAAATAATAAAATGTAATTATTATTATTTAATTATTATTGAAATGTAATATATTTATATTTAATATAAAAAATTATATAAAGTTATTGTCAGCATAATACCATAGTATATTTTTGGTGCTTTTCCTTAGTGTGGGAATATGGTAATGGTCACTATAATATGTATGTGCTCGTGTGTGTCAGGTGGATGCTGCTCTCGGGGCAGAGGAGATGGTGGAGATGTTGACGGAGCGTAATCTGGACCTGGAGGAGAAAGTACGGGAGCTCAAAGAAACTGTCGCAGATCTGGTGAGTGATTGAAGAGATTGTGATGTACAGTATTTTGAGGATGTGATGTGTATGTGGTTCAGTTGAGTGTGTTGAGCAGTATTTGTGTGTATGTGCTGATGTAGGAAGCCATAAATGAGATGAATGACGAGCTGCAGGAGAACGCCAGAGAGACGGAGCTGGAGTTGAGAGAGCAGCTGGATCTAGGTGGTGCCAGCGTCAGGGAGGCGGAGAAGCGCGTGGAAGCAGCACAAGAAACAGTGGCAGACTACCAGCAGACCATCCAGAAATACAGAGAGCTCACTGCACACCTACAGGTTCTGCTGTACCTCACAACATACAAACCACACCACATTAATGCTGCTTAAATGCCCACCTTAATGTATGTCACATAATTTGTGTGTGTGTGTGTGTGTGTGCGTGTGTGTGGAGCAGGAGGTGAACAGGGAGCTGATGAGCCAACAGGAAGCCAACGCTGAGCAGCAGCAACAGCCTGCGGAGATCTTCGATTTCAAGATTAAATTTGCTGAAACCAAAGCCTATGCCAAGGTCAATCCAGAAAACACATAAACAGTGTCTTTTTAACACTGCTATTCAGAATCCGATTCACAAATTAATGAATTAGTCAAACTGGCTGGTGAATCAGACTGAGTTGAACACAGAAGTCATTGGTTTGAATTATGAACTGAATTGTCAGATGATTCATTTCTTCACTGAACTGCAGATTGTGTCAAACTCAAAAATGAGCCATGCGTCTCTCATATAAAAAATGTATGTCTATTTGTAATTCTAGACCATAGAAATGGAGCTGCGTAAAATGGAGGTCACTCAGGCTAATAGACAGGTGTCACTGTTGATTTCCTTCATGCCTGACTCCTTCCTGAAACACGGAGGAGACCATGACTGCATCCTGGCTCTGCTGCTCATCCCACGACTCATCTGCAAGGTGAATGTTCTGAATTATGTGTGTGTTTTACATTCCAGAGAGTGTACACAGCATTAGCAAATGACTAATGTGTGTCAAATCAATAGCTTTTAATATTTTCATAACATGTTATTGCATTGCTGTTGGCGAATGGTAGAAGGGCCCCAGCTGGTAGATGTCATAACTACACCATTCTGCTGTCAAAACACGCATATCATTTTCATTGTTTTTTTAAAGTTGTCGCGTTTATGGCTCAGGTGAGTGACTCAAATGTTAACACCAAGGCTTAAGCCAGGCCTTTTCAGACTTTTAGATGCCATTGACTCCCAAATATGATCACCTTTGTGTGAGGAACCCCATCCTAAGATTAAAAAGACACACAAACACACACATATATATACACTCACCAGCCACTTTATTAGGTACCCCATGCTAGTAACGGGTTGGACCCCCTTTTGCCTTCAGAACTGCCTCAATTCTTCGTGGCATAGATTCAACAAGGTGCTGGAAGCATTCCTCAGGGACTTTGGTCCATATTGACATGATGGCATCACACAGTTGCCGCAGATTTGTCGGCTGCACATCCATGATGCGAATCTCCCGTTCCACCACATCCCAAAGATGCTCTATTGGGTTGAGATCTGGTGACTGTGGAGGCCATTTTAGTACAGTGAACTCATTGTCATGTTCAAGAAACCAATTTGAAATGATTAGAGCTTTGTGACATGGTGGAAGTAGCCATCAGAGGATGGGTACATGGTGGCCATAAAGGGATGGACATGGTCAGAAACAATGCTCAGGTAGGCCGTGGCATTTAAACGATGCCCAATTGGCACTAAGGGGCCTAAAGTGTGCCAGGAAAACATCCCCCACACCATTACACCACCACCACCAGCCTGCACAGTGGTAACAAGGCATGATGGTTCCATGTTCTCATTCTGTTTACGCCAAATTCTGACTCTAACATCTGAATGTCTCAACAGAAATCGAGACTCATCAGACCAGGCAACATTTTTCCAGTCTTCAACTGTTCAATTTTGGTGAGCTCTTGCAAATTGTAGCCTCTTTTTCCTATTTGTAGTGGAGATGAGTGGTACCCGGTGGAGTCTTCTGCTGTTGTAGCCCATCCGCCTCAAGGTTGTGCGTGTTGTGGCTTCACAAATGCTTTGCTGCATACCTCGGTTGTAACGAGTGGTTATTTCAGTCACTGTTGCCCTTCTATCAGCTCGAACCAGTCTGGCCATTCTCCTCTGACCTCTGGCATCAACAAGGCATTTCCGCCCACAGAACTGCCGCTCACTGGATGTTTTTTCTTTTTCGGACCATTCTCTGTAAACCCTAGAGATGGTTGTGCGTGAAAATCCCAGTAGATTAGCAGTTTCTGAAATACTCAGACCAGCCCTTCTGGCACCAACAATCATGCCACGTTCAAAGTCACTCAAATCAACTTTCTTCCCCATACTGATGCTCGGTTTGAACTGCAGGAGATTGTCTTGACCATGTCTACATGCCTAAATGCACTGAGTTGCCGCCATGTGATTGGCTGCTTAGAAATTAAGTGTTAACGAGCAGTTGGACAGGTGTACCTAATAAAGTGGCCGGTGAGTGTATATATATATATAGTTTCTTGCATAAAAATTTAATTTATACTGTGAAAATTATTATTATAAATGTCTAAAATATTATTTGTTGTTACATTATTACATTTTTTGGTACTCATTATAGTACTGTACTGTTATTTATTTAATGATTTTTAAAAAATCTTTATTTTATATTTATTTATGTATTTATTTACTCATTTACTTTTATTTTATTTTAATAATATTATTTTAATTTATTTATTGTTTATTTATTTATGTATTTATAAAAAAAAATGTTTTTTTTAACTGAACAAATATTGGCTTAACTAAAAAATATGGTTTAACTTGTTTTGAGCATGTGCACTAACCACTAAGCCACAGTTCCCATCCAAGATTCCTTTTTGCGAATGTGTTTTGGTTGAATGTGTTTGTGTGTGTATACGTTGCAGGCAGAGCTGATCAGTAAGCAGGCTCAGGAGAAGTTTGAGTTGACTGAGACGTGCTCTCAGAGGGCCGGGATGAGAGGAGCCGTCGGAGAACAGCTGAGCTTTGCTGCTGGACTCATCTATTCTCTCACACTGCTACAGGCAGCACTGCACAAATATGAACAGTAGGTCTACCTGAACTTGTTATTTCTGAAGCGTTAACATCCTCAAGACCACATGAAATATGTCAATAAGTGCCATTATTTTTTATGGTGCCATTATTTCCTGTTGAAGCAGGAAGTTAGAGTAGAGCACCTCAAAAGGCTTTTTTTTTTTTTTTTATATCTCCCTCTATCTCTCTCATGCAGTGCTCTGAGTCAGTGCAGTGTGGACGTGTACAAGCGTGTGGGTTCTCTGTACTCTGAGATGAGCGTCCATGAGCGTTCCCTGGATTTCCTCATAGACCTCTTGTACAAAGACCTGCTGGATGAAACTGTCAATGTGGAACCCCTAACCAAAGCTATTAAATACTATCAGGTATCATACCATAATGTCATTTATGTCATAATGTCAACACGTGAGTAACACACACACACATTTTTATATATATATACACTACCGTTCAAAAGTTTGGGGTCGGTACGATTTTAAATACTTTTAAAAGAATTCTCTTCTGCTAACCATGGCTGCGCTTATTTGATTAAAAATACAACAAAAATCAGTTATAGTATTAAATATTATTCCAGTGTAAATCAGCTGTTTTCTGTGTGAATATATAGTAAAGTGTCATTTATTCCTGTGATCAAAGCTGAATTTTCAGCATCACCAGTGTCAGTGTCTTTAGTGTCAAATGATCCTTCACAAATCAGTATAATAATGAGGATTTGATGCTCAAGAAACATTTATTATTATTATCAATGTTGAAACAGTTGTTGGTCTGTCAGTTGTACAGTTTATTTTTTTTTTTAGGATTCTTTGATGAATAGGAAGTTCAAAAGAACAGCATTTGTTTGAAATAGAATCTTTTGTAACATTATAAATGTCTTTACTTTCCTTGATAAATAAAAGTATTGATTTATTTCCTCCAAAAAATAAAAATAAAATTCTCACTGACCCCAAACTTTTGAACGGTAGTGTATATATATATATATTTGTGTGTGTGTGTGTGTGTGTGTGTGTATATATGTATATGTTTCTGACCCTAAACTTTTGATAAAGTTTGAAATAAATATCCCATTATGTTATGTTAATGTTAATGTTATGTTATGTGTTGATTCTCATTCCCAACTGAAGCATATCATGATAGCAGCAAAGCATATCCAATGCCACATTTACAAACCTTAACCTGAAGCCTAAACTTACCTAAGACACTACTATTGTTCGCCTGGTGTTTTCTTCAGAAAGTGCCAGTCTAATTATCTATTGACATACATTCTTTTTATTGCAGCACCTTTACAGTATTCATCTCGCTGAACAGCCTGAGGACTGTACTGTGCAGCTAGCGGACCACATCAAAGTAAGAACATCACTTAGACACACACGCCGGGTCTGTTGCACACATCTATAACACATCTTCATGTGTGTCTGTAGTTTACCCAGAGTGCCCTGGACTGTATGGCAGTAGAGGTGGGGCGTCTGAGGGCCTTCGTACAAACGGGACAAGACGAGGAAGGGTTTTGTGTGCTGCTGAAGGATCTGGACACTTCCTGTAGTGACATACGACAGTTCTGCAAGAAGATCCGCCGTCGTATGCCAGGCACAGATGCACCGGGCATCCCAGCTGCCCTCAGCTTCGGGCCACAGGTGATCTTATTCATGTACTCGATACGTTAAATTCTATACATATCTTCGATATCTCAGCCTTCCATTGATGGGGTTTATGTGTGTGTGTAGGTGTGTGAGACCCTGGCAGAGAGCAGAAGGCAGCTGGCCTGGGTGAATGCTGTGCTCCAGGAAGTGGCAGCAGCAGCCGCTCAGCTCATCGCCCCTCTCAGCGAACACGAGGGACTTCCAGCCCTCAAACTGGAAGACATGGCCTTTAAAGCAGCTGAACAGGTATGTTTGGGTGAATCCTGTGAAAACATGCCTGGGTCACCACAAAATCGAAATAAAAATAATAATAACATACACTACTGGGGTCAGTAAGATTTTTTTTTAAGAAGTATCTTAAAAATACAATAAAAACAGCAATGTTGTGAAATATTATTATGATTTAGAATAACTGTTTTCTATTTTAATATATTTTAAAATGTAATTTATTCCTATGATGTAAAGCTGAATTTTCAGGAGTAATTACTCCAGTCTTCAGTGTCACTCAATCCTTCAGAAATCATTCTCATATGCTGACTTGCTGCTCAAGAAACATTTCTATTTATTATCAATGTTGACAACAGTTGCTGCTTAATATTTTTTTTTTCAGGATTCTTTGAAATCTTTCAAAACATAAATGTCTTTCCTGTGATATTTTATGAATTGAATGCATCCTTGCTGAATAAAAGTATTAATTTCTTAAATATAATAACAAATAAATAAATAAATATATATATATACTGTATTATGCTTAATACTTTTATGCTAGATGCGATTACTTGCAATCACGATTAATAGAGTTGACAACACTAATTATACTATATTATATATTACTAATCACATCTAACATAAAAGTTTGTAAATACACACACACACACATATATATTTACAAACTTTTATGTTAGATGATATTAATCGTTTTGACAGCACTAAATATAATATAATATAATATAATATAAATGACGATGTGGGGATTTGGTTAATCTCTTTGGATCTTTTTTTCAGATCTATGGGTCACAGGGCATAAACGCCCAAGAGTGTCTGCGGCAGTCATGCAGTGTTGTCATAGCAACCATGAACAAGATGGCCACCGCTATGCAGGAGGGGGAATATGACTCTGACAGACCACAGAATGGAGTGAGTCTGGGCCCTCTTTTAGTGTGTCCTTCTGCCTGTATAACAATGGCTATGAATGTTTGTTGTGTATCTATCGTATAGATATCTCCTGTTGAAGTCCGAGCAGCGGCTCTAAGGGCAGAAATCACTGATGCTGAAGGACTCGGCCTCAAACTTGAGGACAGAGAAACTGTCATTAAAGAGCTTAAGAAATCCCTTAAAATAAAGGTAGAAACACTCACACTCAGACATACTACTACTTGCACAAGATAACAAAATATTAAAATGATGTGAAAATGTTGAGTAAAAACTGGTCTCGTTCATAGGGAGAGGAACTGAGTGAGGCCAGTGTGCGTCTCAGTTTGTTGGAGAAAAAGCTGGACAGTTCGTCTAAAGATGCGGATGAGCGAGTGGAAAAGATTCAGACGATCCTAGATGAGACGCATTCACTGCTGAAAAAGAAAGAGAAGTAAGAGAGGATGGGGGTTCTTGCACATATTTAGGCTGCAGCTTGTCACCCTAACTCCTAATGTGGGTCTTAATGCCCCAGGATAGTGGTAGGGATACTATATCGTAAAAAAAAAAGGCAATTAATTAATATGGGTATTATAATCCGTAGGGAGTTTGAGGAGACCATGGATGCTCTCCAGGCTGACATAGACCAACTAGAGGCAGAGAAAGCAGAGCTTAAGCAGAGAATCAACAGCCAATCAAAGATGACCATTGAAGGCCTGAGAGGAAGTCAAGCTTCTGGCATCGCCTCCATTGTGACTTGTGGCATCACTGCTGGTAAGATAAGGGAATCAGTTTAGCTTAAACTAGTTCAAATGTCTTTCTTAAGTCTTAATTTCAAACTGTCTAATATGTCTTCCATTGTTTGTATTCCTTGTAGAAGAACAAAAAGGTAAATTTGTTGTCAGTATGACATTTAAATATCTCCAGTTCTCCACTCATGGTCTCTCTGTGCACTGCATGTGTGCATGCAAGTTATTCTCGCTTATGTTATTAGATATAATATTTAGTTTGTGCTTTACAAATATTTCATCATGCTTCCCTTTCATAATTTTGCATGTGCTGTAATTTAGGCTTACTTTGTGCACGTCTCTTGATTACTGTCCTGTCCTTTACAGAATGCTTGATTCTGATTAGTCAATCATGACATTCTGCTCAAATAATTTAAAAAATGCTAAACTGTTTGATTGACTGATTTCCCACACAACAGTTTAGTTTCCTTATAGCTTTCTGCATGGTATTCCATGTCTCCCATAAACTCTGGTCTCTTTCTTCTCATCTAACATATTTAGTCAATGAAACATGACAAAAATAAACTTTTTAGGTAAAAAAAAAATCATAATGACTTAATTTGAGTTTATTTTTGTGATAATGTGCATTATCACCTACATATATGCTTTGTAAGCCTATCTAATATTTAAATTATAATATTTGAAATCTCAATTATTATGATCTCCATTTAGTGGACTACTAAGAAAATCCTGAATGGATTTTATAGAATCCACTTAGAAGATCCTCCCTTTGAGATGTCACTGTTTTATTATAATAGTTTAATAAACACTATAAGAAACTGTAATATTGTGTAATATAATTAAAATTTAAAATAACTATTTATTATTTTAGAATATATTTTAAAATGATCCTTCCGAAATCATTCTATTGTGCTGATTTTGGTGCTCAAGAAACATTTCTTCTCTTTATTAGTGTTGAAAACAGTTGTGCTGCTTAATATTTTTGTGTGATACATTTTTTCAGGATGCTTTGATGAACAGAAAGTTCAAAGGAAATATAATCTTTTGTAACATTACAAATGTCTTTACTTTCACCTTTTAATTTTCACAATGTAATGAGTCCTTGCATTAATTTCTTTTTAAAAAAATCGTGGTTTTAATGGTAGTCTATATAATTTAAAAATATATACTGTATATTTTAGAGAAATATATCAGTTGTCTATGTCTTTGTTAAAGTCATAGTTCACCCAAAAATGAAAATTCTGTCATTATTTACTCACCCTCAAGTTGACGAGTTTCTTTGTTCTGTTGAACACAAAAGAAGATATTTTGAAGAATGTTGATAATCAGACAGTTGACGGTAGCCATTGACTTCCATAGTATTTTTCCTACTATGGAAGTCGATTGCTACCGTCAACTGTCTTGTTACCAACATTCTTCAAAATATCTTCGTTTCTGTTCAACAGAACAAAGAAACTTATACAGGTTTAGAACAACATAAGGGTGAGTAAATGATGACAGAATTTTCATTTTTTGGGTGAACTAAGCCTTTAACGTGTAATTCAATAGGTGTGTGTGCAGCTGCAGGAGTGCAAGTGATGGATTCTCCACTGCTGACTCAGCAGATTGAAGCTCAGCGACTCAGCATAAAGCACTTGAAGAACGAGAACAACAGACTGAAGGTCTCTCCTACTTCCCCACAAGCACATTTCCCCAAATGCAGGCATCAAGGATTCAGTCTCACATTTGTTTTTGTGTGTGTGTATGTGTGTGTGGACTGCAGGCAGAAAAGATGCGTGCTCAGCTGGCGTCTCTCACTCCTCTGAATGTGCCAAAGCTGGGCTGGAGAGAGGGCTGCAGGCCGGAGGTGTTGTCTAGTGCCCTCTACCGAAAAACAGACCAACTACTGGACACTCTGCTCCAGATGAGTGCCAATGTGAAAGTGGTGGACATCACAGGGAAATCTCCAGGTCTGTCATAATTAGACTTAAAGGGATAGTTCACTTTGAAATAAATTTTTGATATGTTTTAGCTTACCTCAAGGGCATCCAAGATGTAGGTGTCTTTGTGTCCACAGTATTTTCAATTTTGTTATTTTTAGGTCAAACCGTTCTTGTCTGTCAGTCATATAATGCAGGCCTATGGGGTCCACCTCAAAGAGCATATACACAGAGAAGTCCAAATTAAACATGATTTAATGACTCGTAAATGTAAGTACACATTGATGGCCTAAGACACGAAACGAGCGGTTTGTGTGAGAAAATGAACAGTATTTATATCGTTTTTACCTCTTGTAACCACAGTCACGTCCAAGTACTCTGATGGCGCGGGCGCCTCTGTCTGCGCAAGCGCCGGAAAGCCCCGGAAGTGATCTCTCGCGCGTGTACGTCACTCATTGTTTACACAGAGATTTCGGACGTAAAATCTCTCTTTTTTTCTAATTTCTTTCCGAAATCGTCTTCCATTGCGATTTCTTGTATATCTAAATATGTTTAGATCTTCACAGTGAAAGGTAAAACGTCCGAAATCTCTGTGTAAACAATGAGTGACGTACACGCGCTCGTTTCGTGTCTTAGGCCATCAATGTGTACTTACATTTACGAGTCATTAAATCATGTTTAATTTGGACTTCTCTGTGTATGCTCTTTGAGGTGGACCCCATAGGCCTGCATTATATGACTGACAGACAAGAACGGTTTGACCTAAAAATAACAAAATTGAAAATACTGTGGACACAAAGACACCTACATCTTGGATGCCCTTGAGGTAAGCTAAAACATATCAAAAATTTATTTCAAAGTGAACTATCCCTTTAACAACACAGATTTCTGTTGTTTTAAATGAATTATTTAAGCGCATATGTGTTTTGGTTAACAGTGAGTCCCAGTGCGCAGCTCCTAGAGCAAACTGCAAGACTGCAGTCGCTCAGTGACACCCTCGATAGGCTTAAGGTAAAACAAAAATGCTTCAAAACCATAGACATCATTTGCATGTCTCTTGTATTTACTTAAGCAATGTATTTCTTTGAAGGATGAGGTTGCTGAACATGTAGTGACTCATAGGCCTGGTGCTCAAGTCTCGTCCGATTTTGCCACTTTTCCCTGCACTTCCTTTGTGAAGGTAAGAGAGATGCATAAAATGACAGTGATCCACATCGTTTTGGTCTGTATAAATCTCTCATTCTTTCTCTTTCCGCTGTCAGGCAAAGGAGGAGAAGAAAGGAGATGCTGTGTTAGTCGGCCGTGTGATGATGCCTTGCGCCCAAGGGCAGGAACAGGTGCATCGTCTGGTGCTTTCACAGACACAGTTACAGAGAGTTCATCGCCTACTCCAGACTTAAAATGACCCGTCGCCTCTTTACAAAATATGAAACTTATTCAGTCAATCTCCAAAACCCCAAAATGTTAAACAACAGATATCCCAGCTAACATGGAACATTCTCAGAACTTTGGTTAATGTTTTTGTCTGAAACGTTTTAGTTGGATGTTTGTCTAACGTTATTAACAAACGTTCTTCCAGTAACATTAATAGAATGTTTATTCAAAGTTATCTGGTCTTTAATAATGTTCTCAAAATGTTAGCACAAAAACGTTATTCATACATTGTTCATGGAACTTTTTTTCTCTGAAACGTTTTATTTGGACATTTGTATAATGTTTGTAAATGTTATTCTTGTTTCAGAACATTCAGAGAACATTTAGTATTTAGTAACGTTCGCATAATGTTTGCAAAATTATAAAGTGGAAACATTCAGGAAGTTTTGAACATTCAGGGAATGATCAAAAATAACGCTTTCACAACTTAATGGGAATGTTAGCAAAATGTTCTTAGAATATTTTTTTTGTTAGCTGGGATTATGGAGAATGCATTTATGGCCACAAACCAGTGCTTCATTTGGTGAAGCACACACAAGTCAAGCATCTGCAAAGCTTTGAGTGTGTTTATATCTACCACACCAAAATTTGTGAAAATGATACAAAAAGGTTACAGATTTGAAACATGAGACATGCTGAGGATGTTTTATTAACAAGGCATGAAATGGATGATTCAGCATGACCCCCCGCATGAATCCCTTTCCTGATTTGGATTTCCATTGACCCATGGTTAACAAGTATTTAGCTAACAGGATTTCAATTTCAACCATGTATGTGTTTAATTAGTGGTGTTTTCCAAGTTATCAGACTTATGATTTTCAACTGACGGACGATAAAACGGGAAACAATCCAATAAAATAGGGGGAGAGACCAGAGCCATGTGATTCGACCAGTAAACAACCACCAAAAAGCCTGGCAACCACCTAGCAATTGCATCGCAACACATTAAAAACCAATGAAAACCTTATAGCAACGCTCTGGCAACTACCTGAAACAAGCACTGCTTACATTTTCTTCGGAAAAATTAAAAATAGGATAAAAATGTAGTTGACCAATTAATGGTCTGGTCTCATTTACTTTTGTTTGGTGAATTTTCATGGCCGAATTCCAGTCATTTCAATTGGGAATGGCCATGCAAATTTGGCGGATTCTCCACATTGATCGAGAGAAAGCTGCTTGATTGAAAGTGATTCTGTGTGAGCTGTGCTTCATAAGTTTCTATTGACAATAGACAATGGACCTTTTTGCTCATGAAATTTCACCAAAATTTCACTAATGTGACCTGACCTTAAAAGTAGGGTTGGCAAATTTTCATAAACACTTTTTTGTTATTCTGGTCAAAACTCTCTTCACATCCTGATAGCAATCAATAATAGAAGTGGTCTAAATATTAAAAAAAATGACATCTTCCGTGGAAGTCTCAGGACCGAAAAATGTTCATCCAATCATTACATTCGGTCAGCGTATGTGTTGCCATACCTCCGCACACCCTGCTCGCGCACACGTCATAAGCGCGTTTTGTAAGGAAAAAGATAGTCACAGAGCGCCGCAAACGAACAGTATCCACCTTTTGCCCTTCCTCCTGACCCAAAACAACAAGCTTATGCTGCATTCACACCATGTCGTCACTGTAATTACAAGATGGCAATCTGTGATGACCCGACACTATCAATGTCAAAATTAATCTGCAGCAGTCAGGTGGTAAAAGTCAGAGCTCTTTAATTGTTAACGTTCATTATTATTGTAATGTTATGTGCTTTAAGACATGAGGTAATTTAACGCCGTCTAAGGCATGGCTTTGGAGATGCTCTGAAGGGAGGGTGGGATCTAATGCTTTCAAAGCTATAGCTTGCTTTTGCTAGCCGCTCTGAAATTGCCTATCCTACCTTTAATAATTAGGTTTTTCAGATATAAAGGTGAGTATCAAACATTTGATTTTAATCATTTCATACATGTAGTGTATTCAGAGCATTCTGAATCGGGAGGCCAAAGATGGACAAATTCCCAGTTTTAGGGCTCTATTTATTCAGCATAACTGTGATTGAGTTCACGTCAAATAATGCAACTTAGAACCGGTACGTTATTCTCTTTAAAACACATCAGATGCAGTGATCGCCTGGCACAGCCCTCTTAATACTCAAAATAGTTATCCAGGTGTCAGAGAGACAGGAAAGAGAGTATGCTTTTCAAATAAATATTAAGTCAAAGATTTAACAGCTCTGTGTGCTCGACTGTGATGCCTGAATGTGCCATGCCAATGTGCTTCTGTAAAGAAAATACTATTGTCCTTTTGAGTGAATGATCAAATTTAGTGCCAAGCAAGGGCAAGATAAAAACATCAGGTGAATGAAGCTGTGGGCTCAAATAAAAAGAGGACATTAGACAACAATATTTATTAACTGTTGTATATATGCTCCAAGAGCTTGTCAGTATTCAAGTGGTCTTAAGTTAGCAATGGTTTGCTTTGTTACTATTAATTTATTAACCTATTAACTGTACAAAATGCATACTGTTGCTTACAGTATTGTTGAATGTGTTGGCATCTTGTGAATTAATTTAAATAAATTATTATGCCATTAATTGCATATTGTTTGGCTTTATCATTTAATAAAAATATTGCCTCATTGGTATAGCGTTAGTCCTGTTCATTGGAAGGGTTCGCTTCATCAGAATTATCCACACACACACATTGGATTTGGCACAGGTTTTATGCCGGATGCCCCTCCTGACACATCATAGCTTTCATTTAGATAAAACTAATGTGAATACATGGGACATACAGCATTTGCATTGACTTACCAGCAATGAAAGAGCTTATAAAAAACTGTTTGCATAAGAACCATAAAAAGGGTGATAGCTAAAACTGTTGAATAAATGTGTCCTCTTTATGTTGCTCTTACAAAAACTGATCCGTTTACCACAGTAAAGAGCAACACACAACTCTGCATCACTTGGAACTGAAGAATATGTTCTTCTTAACATGGCATCAGATGGGATATATTAATCACAATTGAATTACAAACTACCAGTGTGATTTTGCAACATATGGATACCTTATCAATACTGGACGGTAATAACACGGCTCCTCACAGCAATGGCACCAGAATAGAATACCAGATCCAAGAGATCATCAGATGGATCACATTTGCTGTTGGGCTTCCAGGAATCGGCGTCTCTATCTACCTCATGGGCATGCAGGCAAAAACTGGCAAGGCTGCTCCTGTCTACCTCATCAGCCTGCTCGCATCCGACATCTTCAACATCCTTGGGCGGCCGAAGGCGTCTGCGGAGGACACCAAGAATACCAGTATGCAGAGTATGGATATATCCTCCCTGATATTCTACTTCGGCATTATTTCCAACATCGTGTTCATGGTCTGCGTTGCTCAAGAGCGATATCTGTTGGTAACCTGTCCACAATATAATGCATTCTGCATGAAAATCAAGCAGTCGAGCATGATTTCATTGGCTGTTTGGGCAGCTCCAGTTGCAATACTCTTCCTTGCTTACCAAGGATATTTCATCTTGTTTTCCATAGCACTTCTTCTCCCACTACCACTCCTAGTGTTTTTCTTTTTGGATTCTTTCAGAGTCATATGGTGTACAAAACGGCTAGCACCTGTGCCTAACAGAAACAAGATTCTGGGTATGCAGGTGGCCATCTTGAGTAATTACAGCATGATTTACCTCCCCTTTGTCCTAAATACACTGTTCAAGGCATTGTCTCTAAGCTCCTATGTTTACTACTTGGGACTTGTAGCTGATCTTCTTCTCCATTTTGGCCCACTTGTGGACCCATTCCTCTCAATCCTTCTTACGAATGGAATTGGTGACATTTTGAAGGCCTTTCCCTGCTGTGCGAGGACGAACACACAGGAGAATGTGGAGATTGTGAATACAGACACTGTAGAAACAGTGTCTGGTATGTTAACTATGCTCTGAGAATAATGTTCGTAAAATTGATAATCCAAAACTTTTACTAATAATTGTTCATTTTGATTGTTTCATTTTTACAGCTTAGTTTAAATGAATATTTTGTCCCATTTACTTACTCTCATGTTGTTTCAAACCTTACTTTCTTCTGTGGGACACAAAAGGAGATATTTTGAGAAATGTCTCAATGGTTTTTTGTCCATGCAGTGATAGTCAATGGTCAACAAAACATTCTTCATAATATCTTCTTTTATGGTCTACTTAAGAAAGTCATACAGGTTTGAAACAACATGCGGGTGAGTAAATTATGACAATTTTCATTTTTGTTTGATCTATCCTTTTACGATGATTCAATGCCAGAAAGATGTTCAATGTTATGCCAAAAACACAGCACAAGAAGACAAGCTAAAATTGTTAAAATTTGCCATTATAATAAACTTAATTGATATTGGTAACTCTACTAACAGGTTCTCTCATTTGAAAAATATTCGGCTTGACACAAAGGTTGAAATAATGTTTTATGACACAGATGTGCTACTGAATGCCCTTTAGCTGTAATGTGTAAAATATTGATGATATACAGTAATTTAGTGCACTGTAATAACCTGTTTAGATATTTAAAGAACAGTTCACCCCAAAAAAATATTGTTCCCCCCCCATTTACTCACCCTCATAACTAAACCATATGATTTCCTTTATTCTATGGACCACAAACAGAGATGTTCAGTAGAAAATCAAAGCTGCTGTTTTTCACAATGAAAATGAATGGTGCTCATGCCTGTCAAGCTAGATTTTTAGTGAATAATGACTTAAATTTGAGTCCGTTCCTCACACAAAGCTAAGCTATATCATATAGCTCCAGATGACTAAGAATACAGTGCATGAGTTGTATGGACCACTTTAATGGCGCTTGTCAGTTTTGGACACTAGTAACCTTTCACATCTCTTTTTATGTTTGATTAATGAAAGAAACTCATATGGATTTAAAACGAAATGAGAGTTAGTAAATAATGTGAATTGTGAATTATCCTATACATTTAACAGCATTCTTGTATGTTACCATTGAGTTGTCAAAATGAACTCTTGTTCGAGAACTTGTATACTTTCTTTAATATTCATAAAATGGAATACAAATGTTGTCCCAAGTACATAGAAGACTCTAAAAACTAAAAAGGTGTAAAACATCTGAGGAAGGACTCATAAGATATTAAGTCTGCCACTAAAACCGAACCGGTAGAGAAAGAGTGCAGAGCTCTCGGAGCATGTATCGGTAAAAATCTTCAGGCACAGTCACCATAGTGTGGGAGTCATTACAAAAGTGAGGAGATTTGGCTTTTGTAATCCGCACACAACAACACAATCATATACGGATTGGAACACAAGAAATCTGTAAACAAATGTTCTCCATAAAAAAGGTCTCTGACTAGGCGCTTTCTTTTGGAATAAGGGGGAAAAGGCTTGCGAGCATCTCCAGCGTAAGAAAAGCATTACAAAAATAAAAAACAAAAACGGTGATTGACCAGAGCCATTGTATTCAAGTCCTGAGTTTTTTTAAAACAAAACATAAAAGGCCAAAAAAAATAAAAATTTCAAAACACTGATGAACCCATGGAAAGTTTTACAGTAAACAAGATTGATGGTTTCCAGGCCCATAACGGTAACTTGAGCGTACTGAAATAAATCAGTGAAATCAGAG